AAATTAGCTGGGTGTAGTAGTGCACGCCTGTAGTCCCAGCTATTTCAGAGGCTAAGGCAGAGTATTGCTTAAACTTGGGAGGTGGAGGTTGCAGCGAGCCAAGATCGTGCCACTGCACTAAAGCCTGGGCAACAGAGCAAGACTCTGTCTCAAAAAAAAAAAAAAAAAAAAAAAAGGATACAGGTTAGAATTAGCAAAGGGAAAAGGTGCATAGACCAAGTCCAGGAGAAGCCAGGAACAAGCTTCCAGTTGCTCCCTCCAGCACAGTCCCACAGATAGTGTTTCATTCTCCCAGCAATAATATATAACAAGACATATGAAGACATATGAAGTCTTGCCAACCAGGGAGATGCACCCAAGCCTTGGATTCCAGGTTTTGTATTGGAGGTCCTGTAGGCATGCAGCACCTATGTGACTGGTCTTGGCTACTCACTTTCCAGCTTCCCAGAGATCAAACTGACATATAGTGGCCAAGGGCCTCAGTTATATAAAACAGGTGTGAGCCATAGGTCCATCCCGAGCATAAACTCTCTGGTTAAATTGATACAGTATGGCCCAAACTCTCAAGCTCTCCTCTTATCAGGCAGGATATTCCAAAGGGGCAGAGGTAACCTCCCAGGAGCTAGTCAAGGGTCAATCCTTTCTTTGGAATGTGCACAATTTGAGTAACCTAAGCTTGCTAAGTTAACCCTTTATTGCACACCCAAGAAGTGTGTTATGTTGACTACAACATTTAAAAAAAATTATCTAAGTTTTTCATCTTCCTGATGGCAGAAAACTTGATGTAGTCATATTTGAGTTAATTTGCTTTTGTTTATTTTGTTTTTAGTCATTTAAATTTTAAACTCAATCAATACCATATTCATTCTCCCTTTTATCTATCACTGATTTGAAGGTCCAAGAGTTTAAGAGGGCCATGGCATATGTGGGGAAAGACATTAGATTTTGGGAGGCATTCTTGGTTTACCGTGGCATATGTAGAGTGTGCCTTGCCTCCATTTCCCCCCCTCCCACAATAAAACATCTGCAAATATTTCTTTTTGTTGTGAAACTGGGTCTTGCTTTGTGGCCAAGGCAGACCTCAAACTCCTGGGATCAAGTGATCATCCCTCCTCAGACTCCTGAGTAGGGGGTATTGCAGGCACAGGTCACCCTAGCCGACTAAAAATATAGGTTTTGTTTTGTTTCTTTAGAGACTGAATCTCGCTGTTGCCCAGGCTGGAGTGCAGTGACTATTCACAGGCATGGTTATAGTGCACTGTGGCCTGAGACTCCTGGTTTCAAGTGATCCTCTCACCTCAGCTTCCTGAGAAGCGAGGACTACAGCAGTGCACACCTGTGCTTGAGTTCCATTGGATTTTGACTGTGGGCCCCCCATGGACCCCACTGAGATAGTCTGAGATGGCCTTTGGTGCCTACTCATTGCATTCTCCTTATCCTGACTCAAGTCATCCGGGCCTCTCTACTTCTGAAAGCCTGAGAATCTTTTTCTTCTTCCTCTAAAGCTGTAAGAAATCGGGTGAAGGAGTTACTTCAGATCCTGTATGCCTAAACACGCCTCACAATCAGAGTTCTACTGAAAAATGATTTTCTTTTTTCTTTTTCTTTTTTTTTTTTTGAGATGGAGTTTCACTCTTGTTGCCCAGGCCGGAGTGCAATGGCGTGATCTCAGCTCACCACAACCTCTGCCTCCTGGGTTCATATGATTCTCTTGCCTCAGTCTCCTGAGTAGCTGGGATTGCAGGCATGAGCCACCAAGCCTGGCTTATTTTGCATTTTTAGTAGAGATGGGGTTTCTCCATGTTGGTCAGGCTGGTCTCAAACTCTTGACCTCAGGTGATCTGCCCATCTCGGCATCCCAAAGTGCTGGGATTACAGGCGTGAGCCACCGCACTCAGTCCTGAAAAATGATTTTCTTTTTCTTTTTTTTTTTTTTTTTGAGACAGAATCTCGCTCTGTCGCCCAGGCTGGAGTGCAGTCTCACCGCAAGCTCCGCCTCCCAGGTTCACGCTATTCTCCTGCCTCAGTCTCCCAAGTAGCTGGGACTACAGGTGCCCGCCACCACACCCAGCTATTTTTTGTATTTTTAGTAGAGATGGGGTTTCACCATGTTAGCCAGTATGGTCTTGATCTCCTGACCTCATGATCCCCCTGCCTTGGCCTCCCAAAGTGTTAGAATTACAGGCGTTGAGTCACTGGGCCCGGCTGAAAAATGATTTTCTTAAGTGTCCTGGAAGTTCTAGAATTTCCACTCACTAGCACCTTTTGAGGGGTGGGATGAGAAATCTCACTAGCATCTAACGCTTTTTTTTTTTTTTTGAGATGGAGTTTAGCTCTTGCTGCCCAGGCTGGAGTGCAATGGTGCGATTTTGGCTCACTGCAACCTCTGACTCCCAGGTTCAAGCAATTCTCCTGCCTCAGCCTCCCAAGTAGCTGGGATTACAGGCATGCAACACTATGCCCGGCTAATTTAGCGTTTTTAGTAGAGATGGGGTTTCTCCATGTTGGTCAAGCTGTTCTTGAACTCCCGACCTCAGGTGATCCGCCTGCCTTGGCCTCCCAAAGTGCTGGGATTACAGGCATGAGCCACCGTCCCTGGCCAGCATCTAATGCTCTTATTCTCCTTGCTGATGCCCTTCTCTTCCAGTTCAGATGGCTTTGATCTCCTCTCTTGTAGGTGGTGGTAGTGGTGCAGTTAAGAAACGGCACATCATCCAATTAGGCGGACCCATGGGATGGATATGGGAAAGCAGTAACATCAGACAGGAAGATCAGATGGGAATAAAATTGTGGAGAGCTTTAGATGCAGTAGAGAGCCACAGAAAATTATAGGACAAGGGAGGGACATAGGATGAGAGCTGTAATTAAGGAAGAGTAATCTATTGGTAGCGTGGATCTTTGTGAAATATATTTGAACACACTTTGTAGGGCAACAATATCTAAATAAAGAAATCATATGATTAAGAAAAACAAACAATAAATTCATTTTCTGGACTTGAAGTCCCATATATGTGAACAAAGTACAAAGTAAGATTGTTTTACTCATGTGAAATTAGGAAGGCTAAAACGATGGAAGATAATTTTCTGTAAACCACGCTGATTTGAAAAACTTGAAGCTAGTGGGTTTGATCAAATTACATGGGATTCTTTCAAAACCAGTCTGCTCAATTTTACCTCTCAGTTTTCCTTCTCTACCACCGTCATCTGGGGAATAAGAAGGACTTGTCTTTAGTAGGCTTGAATCCTGTACACCACCTATGTAATGAATTTTTAGCAAATTAAGGGAGCTGATTTTTGAACACAAAATTTCCATTCCTAGTGTGTGAATGTTTTCAAGGTGCAGCTTCAAAAATATACAATACGGTTTGAATTCTGGGGAAGGAGTGTTCAACTTTGGGGTGGCTTTAGGGGATAACAGATAAGTCTGAATTTTGAAGGAACTAAAACAAAGGGAACAGCGTGTACAAAGCAGGGTGGCCTTAGAATTGCGGCAGCATGAAGCTGAGAGTCGCGGCGACTTCAGCTTGAGAGGTGTATACGGACGAAATCATGGAGGGATTGGTAAGTGGGTGAAGACAAGTGGGACAGACTTCTGTTTCTGGACTCACCCAGGTCAGAATCACTTGAGATGCTGTCAAAATTGAATAACTGAATACGGAGGTGGCCCAAGCACCTGCTTTTCATTAAGCTTCTCAAGTGATTCTCATGCAAACTAAGGTTTAAGAGCTACTTCCATGCAAAAAACAAAACAAAACAAAAAACCCCCAAGCTTAAACAGGAACCAATGGGGGTGGGAGGGGTGGCGGGAAGAGCCGTTGAATTTCATGTGATTAAGTAAAAGAATTTCTCACTTGAGGCCTGCGGAGATTGTGTTTAACAGCAAGGTCTCGAAGGACGGCTACGTTGCCTAGCCCTCCCCCATTGTCATCCTATGTAGTCCTCCAGGAAAATTGTGATTTTAGCAAAGTCTTTCATGACCCACTCCATCTTTCTCTAAAGTCCAGTACTGCTTCATTCGTATTGGAAAAAAAAAAAAAACTTATATACACTTCTTAAAGTTACGTGTTTACAAAAGCTTGTTTCCTCCACTCCGTTTCTATTCTTCAAGTTCCTTAAAAGCTGCTTCATTTTTTGAGTGAAAAATGTGCTTAACTTCTGATATCAGCATAGAGAGGTGAGGGAGGGAGGGAATAAAATAAGAGGGAGGGAAGAAATAAAAAAGAATCTTGAAGTTATGAATTATTTGGGGATCAGTATTGAGGCTTATTTTTACTTAATGATGCTATATTTATGCAATAAAAACATTAGCCAATCTGTATTAATTCCTGGGAAAACGAACCTTTAGTCACTTTAAAAAGCACATCACTGACTTTGAAAATTAACTTCACCTTTTTCATTGGGGAACCCTTTAAAAATTTCCAACTTGCACAAGAACTTCCCTCCCTTATTCTTCATACTCAGTCATTCATTCTAAAGATGAGTAAAATTAGGTTGCAATATCCATGCTGCCTCCAGAGTACCTCTTTCACACAGTATTTTTAGAAAATTATTTCCTTGTTTGCTCTTCAGTACCTCCACTCCTTCCTCCTGTGACCCTCCTACCATATTTACCCCTCCTACAAGACCAGGTCTCCAGTAATGAAACGAGTTTTCCAAGCAGTTACTTAATTAACGGCATAGAGTAGACAAGTGAGGTCCCGCCCCCTAGGAGGAGCTAACACCCCGGACCGAATCAGGCGGATGGTCGATAACAAATGAACCCTCAATCTTTTCAGAGGAGAAAACACACACAAAGGCCCAATCAGAGACCGCGGCTCCAGGAGTCCAGAGGGGGCGGGGCTGGACAAGCACCACCCACTTCCCAACCTCCCGCCGCGGCCGACAGAGCCTCGCGGGCTCCGACAGGTCCCGCCCCCTCGCCAGGCGCGGCTGCTATTGGGCGGCGGGCTCCTCGCCGAAGCCTCAGTTGCTGGGAGAGGGAGGGCGGGGGCGGGGCCTGAGGTGGGCTTGGGGAGCGATGAAGAGAAAGGCGGGGAGGTAAGGGCGGGCTGGGCGTATTCGACGAGCGCAGCGGCGGTTGGCGTAGCGGACGGGGTGCAGCCTCCCCGGTGTGAGGAACGGTCTCCGCTGACAGATCCCCTTCTTCCGGCCGCGCCACTCGGGAGGCGGATCCCCTGGGCCTGAGGAGGCTTCCCCCGCCCGGCTTGCTTTCCCTCCCTCCCTGGCGCTGCCGCGAGTCCACCGAGCGGCCTCTGAGGAGCAGCCGCAGGAGGAGGAGGAGGTCGTCGGGGGCGGCGGGCGAAGACCGCGCTCTCGCTTCCCCGGCGGCGGCGGGGGCAGGACAATGGAGGTGGCTGTGGAGAAGGCGGCGGCGGCGGCGGCAGCGGCCTCGGCGGCGGCCTCCGGGGGGCCCTCGGCGGCGCCGAGCGGGGAGAACGAGGCCGAGAGTCGGCAGGGCCCGGACTCGGAGCGCGGCGGCGAGGCGGCCCGGCTCAACCTGTTGGACACTTGCGCCGTGTGCCACCAGAACATCCAGAGCCGGGCGCCCAAGCTGCTGCCCTGCCTGCACTCTTTCTGCCAGCGCTGCCTACCCGCGCCCCAGCGCTACCTCATGCTGCCCGCGCCCATGCTGGGCTCAGCCGAGACCCCGCCGCCCGTCCCTGTCCCCGGCTCGCCGGTCAGCGGCTCGTCGCCGTTCGCCACCCAAGGTGAGAACCGGCTGCGGCCGCGGGGGAGCCCGGGGAGAGGGCCGGGAGGGGGCGGGCGCCCTTGTGCAGCGCGACCCGCTGTCATGTCGCCGCCGCCCGGGGTGCGCGGCGGGGGAGGGGCGAGCAGGAGGGTCTGTGCTGGCGACGGTGACATGGAGGGCCCGCGCTCTGCGGCGTGCTGCGCTCGGCCAGCAACTTCCCCGGGCGCTGTGGACTTGACCGCGCCGCCGCCGCCGCTCCGCGTTCTCTACAGCCGGGCGGCCCCTGCCAGCCGCACTTTTGCAGACCTCTGCGGAGTCTCCTGCAGCCGGAATCTCGGGTTCTTTGCCGCCTGCATCCAGTTAACTGCTTACCCGCCCGCTGCCTCCACAAAGCTTTGTCCAGGTCCATATGATCTTGATCATCTCGTCTATACCCACGTTATTTGAGCTGGAGGGGAGAAGGGAGGGATGAAGATGAAGTGATGGTGACTTTCTTTCATGACTGATTGCAGATCGGATGTCATTTATTTCTTATTTTGCATGTTTGGGGCTCTTTACCTTAATGAGTTCCCAATTCTTTTCCCTCTCCTCTGCTAGGGACAAAGGAACCAAGAGACGTTGTTTTGTTGTGTGTCTCTTTCAAGGGTTTTATTTTGAGACGGTGAAGAGAAATAATGCAAAGTGATTTGGGGTGCAGGGTTTCCTGGTATTTTATAGATAAAGCTAGAAGTTACTCTTCTCTTTGTGGTGTTTATTACTGTAGAATTAGACTTTTGACAGGTGTTCCCATTGCTCACTTTAACAGGTTTGAAACATTTAAAGTAAGTTTAAGTGGATACGGTTTTGGGTAGAACACTTGGCAGTTTTTAAATTTTATTGCAAATATTTGAGCACCTCTTTTTAAAAAAATACAGTGTAACTGGAAGAGCATTTTTAATACTTTTTAGAGGGAATAGTTGATTTAGTTTGAAATAAAACGCTAATTTTACGCTACGTTAAGGGAAGTGTGAAATGGATACTTTAGATTGTGGTCCGAGACTCATTTATTTAACTGCATGTTAGGCCCAGTATCCACTTGTAGGAGACAGTTTTCCATGCGTGTCCGTTTCTTCACTCTTGCCAGCACCCTTGCCAGGAAGATACTGACTGCCCTTTGTTTCTGTTTTTCACGGATATTATCTAAAGAGCAGCCTTCGATAGTGTCTTCCACCAGAGCAAGAGGCAGGGATACGTATTATCCAGTATAATAAGAATAATGTCTCCCTCTGGAGCGAAAGCGTAGGCATGCTTACTGCCCATCTTAAAAGATTAGGGTTCCCTAAGCTTAGGGTTCCTCTCCTGTAGAGAAGGAACTGCCTGTGTAGATGTCAGCTGGCTCTCTTCACGTTGACCAGTGGGAACCTGGAGTTCCGAGAACTAGTGCAAAAATCTTGATGCTTTGGCTTATGCTGTTCCTGTGAGTAAAAAACAAACTGCCCTGTGTCTCTGACCCTTGAGTGTCTTCTATCACCATCCGTGAAACTGGTAAGGTTGTTAGCTTGCAAGTTGAACAAACTCTCAGATCCTTCACACTAGTTTGCTCTGAAGAGGCCCACTACTGGAAAGTTCGAACAGGTGAAAGCTTAAACCTTAGTTCTTGTTTCTTTGTTTATTTTGAGACGGAGTGTCGCTCTTGTTGCCCAGGCTCAAGTGCAATGGTGCGATCTTGGCTCACCGCAACCTCTGCCTCCCGGGTTCAAGCGATTGCCCTGCCTCAGCCTCCCGAGTAGCTGGGATTACAGGCATGCGCCACCACGCCCGGCTAATTTCGTATTTTTTTTTTTTTTTTTGGTAGAGATGGAGTTACTCCATGTTGGTCAGGCTGGTCTCGAACTCCCGACTTGAGGTGATCCGCCCACGTTGGCTTCCCAAAGTGCTGGGATTACAAGTGTGAGCCACCGTATCCCGCCTGTTCTTATTTCTTAGACGCATTTTAAGGTTGGTTTTTCCTTCCTCCCTGCCTACCTTCCTACCTTCCTACCTCGCTTTGTCCTTCAGGCTGGAATGCAGTAGCACGATCTCAGCTCACTGCAACCTCCGCCTCCCGGGTTCAAGCAATTCTTGTGCCTCAGCCGGGCGCCACACCCGGCTAATTTGTGTGTGTGTTTTTTTTTAGTAGCGATGGAGTTTTGCCATTTTGGCCAGGCTGGTCTTGTACTCCTGACCTCAGGTGATCCACCTGCCTTGGCCTCGCTAAATGCTGGGATTACAAGCATGAGCCACCCCGCCCGGCCTCTTCCATTTATATTTTAAATGGTTAAACAGGCTAGTAGCCAATTAAGATCTGAATTGTGCATTATTATAGAATTAAGATATATTGTTTGCCTGGCCATGACATACGGACTTGAATTAATGAGAACATGGATCATAAAGTTATCATCCTCAACTCTGAGACAAGTTTGGGATTCCATACTTCTCAAAATGTTCTACGTAATTACAATCTGAATATTTTTTATCTTTATGCTCTATTGTAAGCAAGAGTTCAAAGAAAGCATTTAAATTGGGAGATTTTTTGTTTTTATACTAAGAAAAAGGTTTTAACAAATTATACTTTAAAATAACCTCTAAAAAGGATTAAAATTATCTTTAATAAATTAAAAATGCTGTCCTGAGTCTTAGTGACTTGGGTATTTTCTCCCTTTATCTCTCCTTGCATACTTATTTTAATACTAGCTGAAGCAAAAGTTTAGACATTTCTTAACTAAATAATGGGTTCATTTGATCTAACCATTTCTTCATTTTCCTAATGAATTTGTGAGTATGGGCATCACAAGTCAAGTAATATCTATTACAGAAGGGTTAAGTAGGTAGTTGGGATGGAGAACTGTGTGAGCCTTGGGGTAAAATGATAGGAAATGATAGGGAGTACAAGCAGGGGGGCAGACTCTTAGCTATAGCACTTTGTCATGTGAGTGCAGGGCAAGTATTGAAGGATCTTTTATTTATTTAATGCAAATTCTGAATCTGGATTTTTAACAAAATTTTTCTAGTATTAGGTATTGTCAAGTAATTAAAAATGTGAATATTTATACACATAAATATATATACACACAGACAATTAATTTATGGGCCCATGCTATAGGCCAAACAATAGGTGTGTTGAGGCCAAATATGTTACAGTTCATACACTTTTTAGATTTCAAAAACTGGAGATTTTCAAACTTTAACACTGCTAGAATCACCTAAAAAAAACTTAGATTTTTAGGCTCCTCCCTCCTTTAAGTCCGATTCTACCTAGTCTGGCATACTTACAGAATTCTAGAGTATAATACAGTTATACTCTAGAATTGTTTCTTTAACACAAGCAGTATTCTAAAACTGTTTCAGATCTAGTTTCCCTTTCTATAAAATACTTTTTCATGCTCTCTTTGTCATCCTAAACGAATTTCATGGGGAAGAAAAATCCTTCCTAACACATTTTTCTTACAAAAGTAAACATAATGTTTGAACTGTTTTAAAGGAGAAATAAAATGAAGCAAATAACAACAGAAAAGTATAATTTATAAATGCTTAGATACAATTACACTGGCCACCAAGCTCCCATTGAGAACATTTGTTTTAAAACTTTGGTTTAACTGTCTTTTTTTCTCAGGCTACATGTTGGAAGGAATGAGGGTGAATGACCACAAGCTAAAATTGGATGACTCCTTCAGTCTTAACTGTCATTTTGTTAGTATGCAGTTATATCTAGGAAAGAGGCAAAACTTGAGAAAATGGATTTTCTTTTATATACATTAAGAAAACAAACTGATCTTAGAGAAATGTTATGACATTGTGTACTATTTAGTGTTAACATACTGTTTGGCTAACGAGTAGCGAACTGAGAGTTTGAGAGCAGTTTTTCCCTCCATACCTAAAAGACAATACTGAAGAGCTATTTTTAACAAATACTGAGAACGTAACTTTTGAAAGGTATCACATTATTTGTCTAGAGGGTAAAATGTAAGACTAAATCCCTTTTCCAAGATTTCTTTACTAACTGGCAGTATACAAGATATGTAACTATTCTGGGACTGATTTCTTGGCAAAAAGTATAAATCATCTCATGAGTGCAAGCTTTAATTCCAAAGGATTAATATTTAAGAATGATCTGTGTTACCTGTCAGTACTATACATGGTTTATTCACCTGTTGGTAGAAATCAGTATTTTTTAAATTTGGGGCTATTATGAATAAAACTTAAAGGTATTTGTCATTTCCCTGAGTAAATAACTTAGAATTGGAGTTTCTTTTTATGATAAATGTATGTTTACACTGCTTGTATTACTTTATAGTCCCTCCAGCAGTTCCCTCCAGAGTTTGGTCACTCTCCCCAATTTGGGTATTGTCAGTCTTAAAAAAAATTTTTTTTTTTTTTAGACGGAGTCTCATACTCTGTCACCCAGGCTGGAGTGCAGTGGTGCAATCTCGGCTCACTGTAACCTCCGCCTCCCAGGTTCAGGCAATTCTCCTGCCTCAGCCTCCCAAGTAGCTGGGATTACAGGCACCTGCCACAACACCTGGCTAATTTTTTTTGTATTTTTTAGTAGAGACAGGGTTTTACCATGTTGGCCAGGCTGGTCTTGAACTCTTGACCTCAGGTGATCCACCCGCCTTGGCCTCCCAAAGTGCTGGGATTACAGGCGTGAGCCACTGTGCCCAGCCTGTTATTCTTTTAAATTTTAACCATTGTAGTAGGTGAGAAAAGCTATCTCATGGTTTTGGTTTTCATTTTTCTGATGAATAATGATGAGCATCTTTTCTTGTGCTTAGTAGTCATTCTTTTTTGGTGAGATTTTGGCTTGTCTTTTGCAAATTTCAAAAAATTAGGTTGTTTGCCTTTTTTTTTGTTTTTTTTTTTGAGACAGCATCTTACTGTATTGCCCAGACTGGAGTGCAGTGGTGCCATCTCAGCCCATTGCAACCTCCGCCATGTTGCTCAGGCTGGTCTCTCAACTCCTGAGCTCAAGTGATCCATTCTTCTCGTCTCCCAAAGTGCCGG